GCCTGGAGTCTGGAACCATTCAGCTTCCTCATACACATAATGGGGATAATAATAGCACCAAATAAGAAAATATTAGGGTTTTTTTTTTTTAAGGCAGTTGGGGTTAAGTGACTTGCCCAGGGTCACACAGCTAGTAAGTGTCAAGTGTTTGGTCTGAGGCCTGATTTAAACCCAGGTTCTCCTGACATCAGGGCCTGTACTCTATCCACTGCGCCACCTAGCTGCCCCATAAGAAAATATTTGTAAAGCACTTTGTAAACCTTTAAGTACTATGGAAATGCTATTATTATTATTATTATTATTATTACTATTACTACTACTATTACTATTATCAGTGATGAGAAACATATTTGATTGGAAATTGATGGTTCTGGATTATAGTTCTTTATTACAAACTAACAACATGGTGGTAAGTCATTTTACTTCTTTGTAGTTCATTTTCTCATTTATAAATTGGGGTGGGGTGGGTAAGGGGAATATTAAGACATATATCTTTAAAGTTCCTTATGAGCTCAAGATTCAGATCCAATTGTGAGTTACAGCTTTAGGAAGCAAGGAAGCAAAAGGAAGGACTAGCAAAGGACTAGAATAAGGAAGACTAGCAAAGCCTTTGAGACTGATTTGGGGCATGAAGACTGAGTACAAATGTGAGGGTAAGCATTAATCCTATCCAACAGCCCATTGGAGGGTGAGGGCTGGAACTGCACTCAGGAAACCATGGATTCCCCCATTTCCTGACTCCCCACCCCATCCTCCATGTCCTCCATACCACACACCCAGCCTAGAGAAGGGCCCTAGCCTCTACTCTCTTCTATACCTGCTGCAGAGGGCAGAAGTTCACCCTGCCCCTGCTGACCCAGCACTTGGGAAGGCCAGGATTAGAGAATGAAAGTGAGTCACTGAAAGTTTAAAAAAAAAAAGAAGGTGGCAGGAAGAAGGGAGGAGAAGGAAGGGAAGCCAATAATGCATCAGGCCAGACAGGTAAACCCAGGCCTGGGTAGGGGAGACTGAAGCACTAGGTTCTACAACTCTGATGCCTCAGGGTGGGAGAGTCTGCCCTTCCCCCTCTCAGGTTGGGCTGGGGTCAGCTCAAACTTTCTGTGTGAGCATTTATACCTCAGAAATAGCAAACTACAAATCAGGGCTTGTTTTGTTTACTGTGTTGTTGATTGTCTAGACTAATGATGGAGAGAATGTTATTAATGCAGATTAAACTAAAAAATGTGTCGTGGGCACATTTTTAGGGGGTGCGTCAGAAAGCCCACTGTTAAAATGCCCCTTCCCCTTCCTTTCCTCTTGAAACCTGGCTATTGTTTTGCTTGGTAACTTGCTAATGCATTCATTGTGTTATAGTGTATGTTATACCTACTTGTATTGTGGCTTATATGCTCTGACAAGACTGAAAACCCCAAAAGGGATTGGATTGTGTGTGACTCAGACTTTCCATTGGGAGCAAATGCTAGCAGTCTGCATGCCAAAGGTGCTTAATGGTTGTTGTCCTTCATTCTCAAAGAAGACCAAAATGACATCACTATACTAGAATTAAGTTAAAGTGTGTCTGTGTCCGACTGTGTCTGATCAGACCAATACGAGCTCAGAATGCTCTACCACAGGCGGGACACAAAAAGTCCATGTGAACATTGCGGTGGATTCTCTAAAGTATTACTATCAGTCTGACAATGGACCCTGGATGTTTTCCCTCCTTGCTTCCATTTCTTTTTTTAAAAAATATTTTATTTTTTCCACAATTATATGTAAAAAGACTTTTTGTAGCATTCTTTTTTTTTTAAATTGTGAATTCCAAGTTCTATCCCTTCCCCCTTCCCCTTTCCCTCCCTGACACAGTAATCGATCTGATATAAGCTATACGTGTCCTGCTTCCCTTTCTTTTTCTCTTCATTAGGGGCAAAGAACTTAGTTCAAAGGGTAGGGTTGGGGAGAGGAGGGAGAAGTGAAGACCCTAGTAAGGCCAATGGGTAGAGGAAGCAAGTGAGATCTAGGTGAGAGATTGATCGAGATCTCATCTAATGTCTTCTCAGTTCTAGCTGCCCATGTCAGCACATCTAGATGATGTGAACATGTTAAAAGCTGTCCCTGCCCCTCTCCTTTCCCTACCTCAGCCCTCACCCCAACCCTAATCTCAACCTGAGGTGGAAGGAAGATATCAAGTCTGATACTTAGATGCTTTTCCCCTTTTCCTCCCTAAACATCAGGCCAAACAGTACCTCACTACAGACAGACACCAACAAGTTCCCTGCTCCAGAAAGGAAACTGCCCTTGGACTCCTGGCCCAGGCTGAGACCTAACATTAAGACTGATGGTCTGGGGTAACAGGGGAAGAGATCAGAGAAGTCTCAGGTGTCATGAGGGATGAGCTCATCTTAGTTATCCAGGGCGGTGGCTGGACAGTTACACTCACCATGTGAGTTTGTGGACCTGTGAGGTCAACTTCAAGGCAGGCTAGGGGTTATAGGGAAACCCACTCACAAGTGGTTCCCTCAAAGGGCAGCCAGAGAAGTGGAGGACCTGGTCCTGAAGGTAGAAGCTGGCGGTCTGATTTTTCTAGCTATCCTTGGATTCTGTAATTTCATCTTCTCCCTCACTCTGCTCTCTCCCCTCCTCCACCCTCTTTACCCCCCCCCCACCTGTTCTTCTTGATTTTCCTGGAATGATCAAATGCTCACACAGACACACTCCTCCCCCCAAGGCCCTCATTATGCTATGAATCAGAGGGTGGAGAAGATTTTAGATACCCCGGCCCAAGAAACCCATTCAACCGGTGTGACTTCCTCTTGACAGATACTGGCTCCTCTTGACTGTCACGGACTTGCCAGGGTCATATTTCCCTTCTGAGCTCAGCATCCAGAGGTGAAAGGGACAGGTCATTATTCATGCAAGTGAGGCAACACAGGTTCTTAGGAGGAGCCCAGTTTTGGGGCTTCTTTGAGTTGTACGCTTTTGAAGCCTGTGAGAGACGACGGGAATGTTCACTGCTCTGACATCACCTCCACCATCACCAGCTTAAGTCTAGGATTTTTGTTCTTATCCCTCAGGAGCTCCTCCTGCTCCCTCTCTCTCACTCTTCACCCCACCCCCCTTCAAAACTGGGTCACTATGTTAGTTGAAAAGAAAAACTGTATTGGGTTAAGGCAGGGGGTCTGGCTTCTCTGACCCTCCCATCCCCCAGGAAGAATTGAGAGGGTTTTGGTGTAGGCGGAGGGGATAGAGAGAGAGAGATATGGCATGGATGAGGTAGGCATGGACTGTCCATTTCCAGAAATGGAGGGTCAGAAGCTCCTCTTCCCTCCCTTGCTCCCTGCCCCACCCCAAATGGTGAGATTTATCTCAGCCTTGAATCACAGGAAAAAGCTAGGGAGGAGAAGAGAAGGCTACAGTGAAAGGACACCAGTATGGGGTGTGGGGGGGCAGGAAGGATAAGGTCAGGGGGAGAGGAAAGAAGGGCATATGAGGAAGGCAGGATCCAGAGAAGGCGGGATGGGGGTAGGAATTGGTAGAAAGGGGTAAGTCCAGAGAGAAAGGAAGATACCGCTAGAAGAGGGAGAAAAAAGCTCAGAGTTGAGAAAGGTGAGATCTTTCCATCCCATTGATGTTTTTGAAGGACACATTTTCATCAGTCAGTCAATAAACATTCATTATTTACTTACTATGTGACAGGTACTGTGCTAAGTGCTGGGGAATATAAAGATAAGCAAATACAGTCTCTGCCCTCAAGAAGCTTACATTTTATTTAATTTTAATTTTTTAGGCAATTGGGGTTAAGTGACTTGCCCAAGGTCACACAGCTAGTAAGTGTTAGATCTGAGGCCAGATTTGAACTCAGGTCCTCCTGACTTTGAGGCCAGTGCTCTATTAACTGCACCACCTCGCTGCCCCCAAGAAGCTTATATTTTAGATAGGGAGACAACATGAAAAAAATAAGTAGGTATGCCCACTTCCGTGTGTGTGTGTGTGTGTGTGTGTGTGTGTGTGTGTGTGTGTACATGTATACAAACACACAGAGGAGATGTAAGGTAACTTGGGAAGGAGGGAGGTTACAGCAGCTCTGTGCGGACGGCAAAAGTATTCTGTGGAGCATGGATTTTGAGTTGTCTTGATGGAAGCCAGGGCAACTGAGGCAGAGGAAAAGAGGGAGATAATCTGAGGCAATTATAGACAGCCAAGTACAAAGGCTGTCCCACAGAAATGGGAGAAGGTGTCATTAGGCCAGCATGATTGAAATTCAGAGTGTATGGAGCTGAGCAGAGCTTAAGAAGACAGGGAAGGTAAGCAGGGACTAGACTGTGAAAAGCTTAAAATGACAAGCAAAGACACTTATATTTGATCCTGGTGCCCAGTGGTTTTGGGGACATGGTCATTGTCCAATTTAAAAGGAAATATCCTTGACTTGATGTCTTGATAGGCGCCTTTACAAAATTTAGTCTTATTGTTTATGCCAGCGTTAGAACAAGATGACTTCTAATAGTCTATACTTTGAAGTCATCTTTCATATGGGGAGGTCCAAGGGTATGTCTTAGATAAACTCCACTTCCCTCTTCTTCTTCCTCTGTAGAGGATTCTGTCCTTTTTATTCTTTCTCCCAGGTCCTCTGATCTTCCCAAATACTTTTTTCCTCTAGACCCTTGAGGTTCATCTCACACTCCAATAAATATGATTACCCCATTTTACAGTTGAGGAAATGGAGGTATAGAGGAGAAGCATAGCTAAGGTCACACGGGGAAATGGGCCCAGAACCCTGAGCCCACTTTACAGGTGAGGAAATGGAGAGGTATGGTTAAAGTCACGAGGGAAGAGGAAATGGGGCCCAGGACCCCAAGGCTATATGCCTCACCCAGTAGAGACCCTAGCAAATGCCCGTCAGGGTCAGGTGAGTGTCACGCTGGAGAGCACTTCAGTAGCATAGGAGCTGTCCCTGGGAGAAAGAGCCCCCAGGGAGAGTTTGCTGCCAGATTTGAGCATGAGTCAGGAAGGGACTGGAGGAAGTTGACCAACCTGGGGTGGTGAAACCAGTCAGTCCCCATCCTGCGCCAGTGCCCCACACGTTGAAGGTTGGGTTATAAAGCCTCTCCCACCCCAGTGCTCAGCACTGTATACTTCTGCAGCCTCCTGCGCAGCTTCGCCTGGCGAACACTGGTAAGTCTCAGCCAACTGATCCTGGGGGCTTCAGGGCGGGGTTCCTTCCATTGTGGTTAACTTCATGGCCACAGAACTCACGAAAGCCTGGCTAGAGATGGTGGAGGGGAGGGTTGAACAGGTTATGAATGCTCTCCAGCTGTATCCAGATGTGTTTCCCTGTCTCAGTAATGTATACTTAGCCTGTGAATCTCAGTGTCCATGCTTAGAGAAAGGAAGGGATAGCACAGATAATCTAAAAACATATGACAGTCTATAATAATATATTTGGCTTAGAAATGTAGTCTATGATAGGGTGAGGTAGGTGGGAGGAGGTGGTAGGACTGCATCCCAAGTCTGGGAACTGGGAAGAAGTGTGTCACCAATCCCTTTGTAGGAATAGAATTTGGGGTATGGGGGATCAAAGTGCTAAGATCATAGGATCATAGATTTAGATCTGAATAGGACCTTATGGGTCATTTAGTTCAAATTACTCATTTTACAGATGAGGAAACTGAGGCAAAGAGAAGATAAGTGAATTGCAGAGCCAGAATCCTAACCCAGGTCCTCTAACTGCAAAGCTAGCAGACTTTTCACACACAACGCTGAATGGATTTTATCCAGTGGGTAGAAAGTTGGTTTATTCTGGATTTCAGGTTTTGGAAAGGAAGACTCTCACAGGGTAGGCTCTTTCTCCTTCATTCCTTTTCTCATATTCCCATTTCACCCCTAATGGTAGTGGTATTGGTTATTAAAGGAGGTAGTATGGTATATGAGGCAGCTAGGTGACACACTGGATAGAGCTCTGGGCCTGGAATTAGAATTTAATATTTTTTTTTATTAATTTATTTTGATTTATCAACAATCACTTCCATAAGCTTTTGAGTTTTAAATTTTTCTCCCCGTCCCTTCCCACCTCCCTCCCCAAGACAGCATGCAATCTGATACAGGCTATACATATACATTCCTATTAAACAGATTTTCATTTTAGTGATGTTGTAAGTAAGAGTTAGAACCAGTAGGAGGAACCACCAGAAAGAGTAAACAGAATACAACAGAAGAAGAAATAAAAAAGCAAATAGTATGCTTTGATCTGCATTCAAACTCCATAGTTCTTTCTTTGGATGTGGATAGCATTTTCCATTGGGCCTGGAGTTAGAAAGACTCATTTAGTGAATTCAAATCTATCCTCAGAAACTTACTAGCTTTGTGATCCTGAGCAGGTCACTTAACTCTATTTGCCTCAGTTTCCTCATCTGTAAAATAAGCTGGAGAAGGAAATGGCAAACTCCTCTAGTATCTTTGCCAAGAAAATCCCAACCAGGGTTATGAAGAATTGGACATAACTGAAAAACAACTGAACAATAACAAAAATGTATTTTATTGGAAAGAGGTAAATTAGAATAGAGTGCCTAGATCCAAATTAGACCTTAGAAAAGTCATTTATCTCATCTGTCATATGAGGGGGGTGGCCTACATTTCCTGTAACCCTAAATGCATGCACCTCTTTCAGGGTGACACTTGGAGGGCCATTGATTCACTCTGTGGTTAACAAAGACTCAATCTCCAGGGATTGAGCGTCTGCAGGGCACAGTGTATAAAGGGCTAGACTTGGAGTCAGAAAGACTTGTGTTCAGATTCCTCCATAGACACTTAGGAGCATATGGTTGTTGGGAGGATCAAATGAGATGACAAACGTAAAGTGCTTTTGCAAGCCTTGAGGTCTCCAGGGCTCAGGGTGCCAACTTAATGTCACCAATATGGATTATCACCAAGCTACAAAATTGTCCCTCTCCCCACCCTCATCCATAAGCCTAAGCTACTGACCGACCTCTTCCATTTTCAGGAGAATGGTAGAGCTCCTCATTTCATAGTGGAGTGTGTTACAAATGAGAAGCTAGGTGCTGCCTGTGGTTCCTGGCTTCTAACCTCTCAACTAGGTCCTGAGCCCCTGTGGTAACTTTAACACTTTTTTTATCTTAGGTAGAATTAACATCACCTCCAAGATGTCTCATTATCAGCACAAACAGCCCGTGAGCCTTCCCCCTGCCTTTAACCAGGAGCAGCGTAAGCAGCCCCTGCCTCAGATCCCTGTCCCTGTCCCATGGGAACAAGTGAAGCAGCCCACACCAGTACCTGCACCATGCCCAGTGCCTGAGCAAGTCCCAGCTGTGCAAGAAGAGCCCACCATTCCTGTGAAGAGAGTTCCTGTTCTTATTCCACAGCCAGAGCAGAAAGGAGATCAGCAACCAGAACAGCAGAGGGAACATAAAGAAGAGCAGCAGCTGGAACATAAGCAAGTGGAGCAGCTTGAAGAGCAGCTGGAACATAAACAGGAACAGCAGCTGGAAGAGCAGCTGGAGCAACAGCTGGAACATAAACAAGAACAGCAGCTGGAACATAAGCAAGTGGAGCAGCTGGAAGAGCAGCTGGAACATAAACAAGAACAGCAGCTGGAACATAAACAGGAACAGGAGCTGGAAGAGCAGCTGGAGCAACAGCTGGAACATAAACAAGAACAGCAGCTGGAACATAAGCAAGTGGAGCAGCTGGAAGAGCAGCTGGAACATAAACAAGAACAGCAGCTGGAACATAAACAGGAACAGGAGCTGGAAGAGCAGCTGGAGCAACAGCTGGAACATAAACAAGAACAGCAGCTGGAACATAAGCAAGTGGAGCAGCTGGAAGAGCAGCTGGAACATAAGCAAGTGGAGCAGCTGGAAGAGCAGCTGGAACATAAGCAAGTGGAGCAGCTGGAAGAGCAGCTGGAACATAAACAAGAACAGCAGCTGGAAGAGCAGTTGGAGCAACAGCTGGAAAATAAGCAAGAGCAACAGCTGGAGCATAAGCAAGAGCAGCAGCTGGAAAATAAGCAAGAGCAACAGCTGGAGCATAAGCAAGAGCAGCAGCTGGAAAAGCAGCTGGAGCATAAGCAAAAGCAGCTGGAGCAACAGCTGGAACATAAACAAGAACAGCAGCTGGAACATAAGCAAGTGGAGCAGCTGGAAGAGCAGCTGGAACATAAGCAAGTGGAGCAGCTGGAAGAGCAGCTGGAACATAAACAAGAACAGCAGCTGGAAGAGCAGTTGGAGCAACAGCTGGAAAATAAGCAAGAGCAACAGCTGGAGCATAAGCAAGAGCAGCAGCTGGAAAAGCAGCTGGAGCATAAGCAAAAGCAGCAGCTAGAAAAGCAGCTGGAGCAACAGCTGGAACATAAACAAGAACAGCAGCTGGAACATAAGCAAGTGGAGCAGCTGGAACATAAACAAGAACTGCAGCTGGAAGAGCAGCTGGAACATAAACAAGAACAGCAGCTGGAAGAGCAGTTGGAGCAACAGCTGGAGCATAAGCAAGAGCAGCAGCTAGAAAGGCAGCTGGAGCAACAGCTGGAAAATAAGCAAGAGCAGCTGGAACATAAACAAGAACAGCAGCTGGAACATAAGCAAGTACAACAGCTGGAGCATAAGCAAGAGCAGCAGCTGGAAGAGCAGCTGGAACATGAACAAGAACAGCAGCTGGAGCAACAGCTGGAACATAAGCAAGAGCAACAGCTGGAGCATAAGCAAGAGCAGCAGCTGGAAAAGCAGCTGGAAGAGCAGTTGGAGCAACAGCTGGAAAATAAGCAAGAGCAACAGCTGGAACAAAAACAAGAACAGCAGCTAGAAGAGCAGCTGGAGCAGCAGCTGGAGCAGAAGGAAGAGGAGCTGAAGCAGCAGCTGGAGCCAGGGCAGGAGCCTGAAGGGTGCGTTGAAGTTACCATCCCCATGAAAGATCCTGAGCAGGTCCCACAGGCTCCAGAAAAGAGCTTCCCTTCCGCGGAGCAGCAGCAGCAGAAGCAGCAGGTGCACTGGCCCTTCAAACAATAATAACTTTCTCCAGCTCCCCACACCCCAAGATCTCTTCCTACAAAATGAAGAGTTAGAGAGAGAGAGACACGGCCCAGGCTTACCTCATGTTTTCCCCAGCCTAGGTGGTCCGCCTCATCCCGTGAATGTCCCTGATTCCCTTCCTTTCTTTGTGTATTTCGTGCATCTCTAGGACAGGGGGCAGGCACTTAAAGAGGGGAGACCATTCTCTCCCTTGTCCTGTCTTCCCCCGCCCCCATCCCAACCTCATCCACACCTTGGGAATTGAGCCTCTGCTCAGCGGATTGTATAACCTTTGTGGTGTCATAAATATCATCCTTGTTTTGTGTCCTGCTAGTGTGTCTATGTGTGACCGTCTTGATGTGAGTGGGCATTTGTGCTCCTACCAATAAATCTTGGAATCCCTGAAACACAGTGTCCTCTTCTCCTTTATTCACCAAACACTCCCTCTGTTCCCAGTGCCCTCCATGGCTGACTTTCCTTTGGCCAATCCCTTTGTTCTTTAGCTTGATGCACTAGAGATAAGAGTGAACTGGGATTCAGCAGACCCGGGTTCAAATCCTATCTCTACCACTTACTACCTTTTGTGCCTTTGGGTAAGTTACTGCTCTGGGTCTCAGTCTCCTAGGGGTGTTGTGTTAGTGGTGGGGTAGGTAGTTAAACTGGGATCAGGGGTGGGGAACTTGCTGCCTTGAGGCCACTTGTGGCCTTCTAGATCCTTAAGTGTGGCCTTTTGACTGAATCCAAATTTTGTGGAACAAATCACACGTGGCCTCAAGGTTGAAGGTTCCCCACTCCTGAGCTAGGTGGACCAGATCTGAAGAGCTCAGAAACTTCCTGCAGCTGCCATACATTCCCATAGATGCTATAGCTGTAATAATTCCTGGCTTAAAGTAAAACAAAAAGGAACAAGGAAATCAAAACTCCACCAAGTAACTAGCTTCTGCAACATTCCCTGAATGCTCCTTTTGCATCTGAATCTAAGGTCACTGATTCACAGCTAGAAGGGGCCTTAGCAGTCTTTGTATCCAACTTTCTCATTTTTCAGGTGAGGAAACTGAGACCCAGAGATGTTAAGTGACTGGCCCTAGGACACCTAGATGGCAAGTGAGATTTGAACCCATTTCTTCTCTTTCCGCTGCTGCCGTTATGCTGTCTCAGAGATCTGTCATCTCTTTAATAAAATTAGGTCACCTCCTCCTATGCCCATGGGCATGTCTCAGCCTGCCTGTCAGCAGATTCCCAGGGAAAGAATCTTGAGGAATAGGGAAGAGAGAAGAGAGAGGCATAAGGGTCAGCAAGTAGGGGGTATACATTCTCATCCTGGTTTTCTTTTCCCCACCTCCCCTTTTTTCTACCTCAGTTTCTCTCCCTACAAGTGAGGAACAGGTGCTGTTACTCTGGCAAAATGTGGGCTGGCTAGTGGCTTGGTTTGTAGCCCTGAGGACTTTTGTCAGCTAGTGATGGGATGATGGGACCTGGCCCAGATCACTGGCACCTCAGCCCAAGGCACCTGGCCCACCCCAGCCCGCCTGGAACACCTAATTAGCTTACTTGACATTCCTTTCACTACTGCTTCTTAATTCCATCTAGATCATCTAATTGGCCTACTTGATATTCCTTTCACTGTTACACCTGACCCACCCCAGACTACTTACCACTCCTTCATTCCTTTCACTGTCCCTTTTGTATATAAGCATCATCCGCATCCTTATTTGTTTGCAGGTTCACCAAGAACCCTGCTCACTTCTATAGGTATTATAATAAACTTTGCCACTTGATTGGAAGAGGTTTGAGTACGTGAATTCATTCCAGGTGGATGCCTCCCTGTACCCTGATATTTTGGAGTTCCCAGCGATCCCAAACTTAATAATTAGGCCAGTGAAGGCTCCCTAAATCTATGATGTCAGTTTCCCAGATCTAGGCTGGTCCATTGTGACTCCTTCCATACTGGACAGCCACCAAAAATGTTATCTTCCCTCTCAGAACACCCTCACTGATTTGGGGATATTCAATCTTTCTCTTCTCTCCACCATGAATCAAGTTCTTTCTAGGTTAATTCTCAACCACTTAGGAAGCCTTCTGATTGTGTAGATGAGGGGAGGTTTGTGGCATTTCAACTAAATAACTAGACTGTATACAATACAATACTTTCCCTTCCTTGGGCTTGTGTTTGGAACACATTCTCAATTTACAGATAAGGAGCCTCTTATTGTGTTAAGCACTTTGCTAATTGCTCATTTGATCCTTACAAAACCCTGAGAGGTAGGTGCTATTATTATCCCCATTTTACAGTTGAGGAAACTGAGGCAGACTGTGATTAAAGTGACTTTCTGAGGGTCACACAGCTGGTAAGTGTCAGAGGAAACATTCAAACTCAGGTCTTCCTGACTCTAGGCCCAGTCCTCTATTCAGTGTACCACCTGGCTGCCTCTGTAAGAAGAGCTTCTATTTCTACAGCATTTTATATCCTTCTCATCAGCTGAATCTCAGCTTAGAGACTTGCCTAATGTTGTATGGCTAGTAAGTGCCCAAGCCAGACTCTCTACTAAACCATGATGTCACTTTTTCACTTGCATGGACATATCACATACATCCTGGTCAGCAATCCCAGAAACTGAGAGCAAGAAACCAGCTCAGTTTAGGAGCATAGCCTGCCCTAAAGCTTAGAACAATTCCACCCCCACCCCACCCCCTCCCATGATGATTGATTTTAGCAATCTAAAACAATAATTGTCCCACCCTTTCCAGATACTTCAAAGACAACCAAGAGCCTCATCTCTTTAAGTTCAAGGCTTTTGCTCAGGTTAAAATGCACATATCCCAGGGAGCCCAAATACTTTAAGCTGGTTTCAGTCATTTACATCTTAATGTGAATAAGTTGATTTTAAGATTTTGCTGGAGGTGTGAGAGCTCAATAGGGCAGAGCACTTGAGTGAATTACCTACAGAAGAGGGAAAGAATTCTGAAAGGGGGAGGGAAAGTGTTGGTTGGGACAAAATGACTGCTGGGTATGCTTACTTTAAAGAAAATGTCTACTTAGAGGCTACTCCCTCCTAGATGTCTCTGTCCCTGTCACCCCAGACTCTCACTCATTATAAGCCTTTCTGTGCCTAAATCTCCAGGAAGTTTTTAATTTACTTCTAGGAAAATCTAGTTGAAAGAGTGCTGAGCTGGAAGTTAGGAGATCTGGGTTTAGGTCTAGTACTGATTGTGTGACTAAGTCACCTTTGGAGTAGCATGACCTGGCCTCAAATCCCAGCCTTTTCACTTTCTACTAGAGTGACCTTGGGAAAGTTCTTCAATCTCTTGGGCCTCAGTTTCCTCATCTATAAAGTGAGAGAGTTGGATTAGATGATTTCTAAGTCAACTTTGAGCTCTAAATCTATGAATCTTTGATCCAGGCGCTGCAGTTTGGGGTTGCTGGGAACCCTGAAGTGTCAGGGTACAGGGCAGCACCCACCTGGAGAGAATTCAAGCTCTCAAACCTTCTTCCAGTCAAAGTACCAAGGTTTATTGCAAAGCCAATAGGAGCAGGAGGCAGGGGGAGATTCTTAGGGAATCTGCAACTTGATGAGGGTGAGACTGGTACTTATATATATATTAAAGAAAAAAAAGAGACAGTGAAAAGATCTGGATGGAATTAAGGAGTAGTAAATAAACTGGGGTAGGCCAGGTGTAATAGTAAAAGGAATAAAGTAGTCTGGGGTGGGTCAAGTGCAACTGGGAAAGGACTGTCATATATCTAAGTGGGCTGGGGTGGGCCAGATGCTTTGGGTGGCCAGTGATCTGGGCTGCTGAAATGTATGGGAAAATTCAGGGACTGGGTTGCTTTCAAAAACATGGTCTTTTCCTTTTAGGGGTCCAGGTTCCATTCCCCCATTACAGGGACACCTCTCAGGGCCTCATCCAACAGAAGGGAACTAGCTAATTCATTACACAATTGGGCACAACTGGTGGTTTGGTTGGAATTCCACAAACTTCCTTTCACCCATGCATCAGAAAGCTTCCTAACTGGATGAGAATTAGCTTAGGATTCAAGAATGAACCAAATGAGCTCGATTTATGGTGGAGAGAAGGGAAAGATTGAATACTCCCAAACCACTGAGGGTGTTCTGGGAGGAAAGATTATATTTCTCTCCATTTCCCTAGCTTAGACATGGGGACTTCATAGATTTAAAGTGGGAAGGAATCTTAGAGGTCTTCCAGTCCATTGGTTTCACTTTACAGATGAGGAAACTGAGATCCAGAGAGGTTAACATACCTTGCCCAACATCTCTCTCTCTCTCTCTCTCTCTCTCTCTCTCTCTCTCTCTCTCTCTCTCTCACACACACACACACACACACACACACACACACACACACACACACACACACGATTTGGAACCGAGGTCCTTGGACTCCAAATCAATACTTTTTCATCTTTCATAAAGAAAGCTTAAGTATTCATTTCCATTAAAACAACTTTAGTACTTATTGAATGATTTCAAACATCTGAGTACCCCCCCACTGTTGCAAATCACAAGCATATTTTGTAAATCATAAAATGCTTTACAATATGAGTCATTTTCACTGTTTAGTAGATGGTCAGATGTTCCTCATGAGTTGTGGTGATGGAAAAAAAAATCATTTCCTGGGGTCGAGCCAGGTGGTGAGTCTTCCTGAATTTAATTAGGCTGACCTACTCATGACATATCTCCAGGCTGGGCTTGTGTGTATGTGTTTCCTACTTGGTAAGCCTTGCCTGAGCTTGCTGACTTAGCCTGAGAACTCAAGGCCATGATGAGGCATTCCAGGAAGACATTATGTGGGAAATTTATTTTTTTTACTATACACTCCTAATTAGGGGATGCAGTGAAGTATAGTGGAAAGCAGGCTGACTTTGGAGTCCAAGGACCTGAGTTCAAATCTTGCCTTTGTTACTATCTGTGTGACTTTGGGCAAGTAACAGCCTCTCTGGGTTTTCTTATCTGTAAAATGAGGATGTTGGACTAAGGTCTCTTCTGATGCTACATGTATGATTGATTAGAGAAGATGTTATGATTTCCCCTTGCAAATAGACCTTAGAAAATATGCTTTAACAATTGGAAATTGAGGAGGTCTATCAACTGGGAAATGGTTGAACAAATTCTTATATACGATTGTGATGGAGTACTATGATGAGCAGGATGCTCTCAGAAAAACTGGGAAAGACTTACATGAACTGATGCAAAGTGAAATAAGCAGAACCAGGAGGACATTGTACTCTGTAACAGCAACATTATATGATGATCAACTGTGATTGACTTAGCTGTTCTCAGCAATACAACGTCCCAAGACAATTCCAAAGGACTTATGATGAAAAAAATACTATTCATCTCCAGAGAGAGAACTGATGGGAGTCTGAATGCAGATTGAAGCATACTTTTTC